CCGATCAACAATCCTTTTTTAGAATCTAAAAAAAAAAAAAAATAGAAATAGGAAATAATATCGTTGAATTGGCAATAATACCCAATAATAATTTTCTTCAACGAATTCTCAAAGAATCCTCTCTCGAAATCAGAATCGAGACGATACGATCGCGATGGAGGATTCGATCCGGAAAAACGGGGAGGAAACATATCGTGGGCAAACATTGGTTCCTGTTCTGCATCCTGTTGTGTCGTAGGGGAGAGAGGCCGCTTTCCTGCGCCTCCCTTTTGCTTTCCGCGTGTCGAATCGCGGCCTGAATGGTGGAAAAGGTGCCGCACCTTCGTAGGTTATAAATCTAGCCGGTCCCTCCCTATCCCACCTTTCTCTCTTGGCGAGGTCCTAGGGGGTCTTAGTGCCGTGTGTGAGGTCCCCTAAATGGTAACAAATGTCTTCGAAATGCCAACAATGAGCCGCGAAGCGGTTGACATCCGAGAGCGCATTTTATTTTCCTGTCAACGGCTCTCCTCTCCCTCTGCCTCTTGCGGGACGAGGAGGGAAACAGGGGCTGTCATGGCAGCCTTGTATACGATTGTTTAATAGGAACGCGATGTCTGATTATGGGGGTTGATTGTTCGTGAGCTTTTGGATTTTTCTGGAGCGAGAGTTTTAGTTCTATCTTTGCTTTTTGTCTGGCATTCATTTTGATAATTGTAGTTTTTCTTGGTTTATAGGCATTTACTTTATAAAATAAATTTATCGCAGGCAATGGTTTATCGGGTATTTAAAATCGTTTTATTTTTATAATATTTATTCAATTATAATTATCGGATGGGAAATCATCAAATCACAAAATTTAAAGAATCCTACGAATCGCAAAAATTACACTTGATTTCGTAATAAATCAATTCTTTCTTCTCGCTCAAAATTGATTTTCACACCATGAAATCATTGATATAAAATAAAAATGTGTAAATAATTATCACTTCACCTCGAATAATAGTTGTAAAATATCGCAAAAATAACGAAAAATAATATTCTCGAGAAATCATACTAAACTCTTGAAATGGCATATAACCGCATGGAACGCTATAATTTGTCTTGTCAGCGTTCTTGCAAAGGAAGAAAGAAGAGGTCCAAATGGGACCAAACTGTCAACACGAACGATGATTCTTCTCGACGTATCGACCTGGCCGACCGTTTGCTACTTCTTCAAGTACAAATCAGAGCACGTAAGATATTCTTTGGAATTGTAAAGGAGTCACCGCCCAAGGATCATTAACCGCGAGCACGGTGGTCTGTCCACGGTGGAAATCGCACGAAGGAATTTTAAGCTCAGATCTTAGGATTATGCAGGGTCGTTTCCGTCTTTTGCCAGGAAAAAAGGGAAAAAATAACGAAACGAACTTTTTTTTTTCTTTCTTTTTTCATTTACGTATCTTTTTAATATATATTTCTTAAGTTGTGAAATTATAAAGGTTCGGAGAAATAGAACGACGAAATAGACGAAATAGAAAAGTTTAAAAAATTATAAGTGACTTAGTTATGTATTAAAAAATATTTTGAATATGCGAATAATATTTTATGTATAATACGATAAATTTCTTTTTATAATGATTGTATATTTGATTTTAAATAAACGAAGAAATTTTGTATTTATATATAGATACATCAAAATAGTCGTGTCAGTTTAATAATTGGTCAGTAATTGAGAAAAGAAAAAATGATTTATAAAAATTTTCACCTCTTTAGAAATTTTACAGGCAATTAATAGGTTGAAAAAAATTTTTTTTCTTTTAACATTAAAACACATCTACTATAAGTAAAAAGTCCAAGTATTAATTTCATATTAACATGTGTTTAATTAATAAACACAAAAATTAAATCTGTTAAATCATTAAAACGTAATAATAATTTTAATATTATGAATAATTTACGATTCTGTTTCCAAGAGAACAATTAAACAAATATTAAACCATTTCATAGTAAAAAGAATCATCTGATTATCTGGTTGTTATTACTAGAGACTTACATTTGTACTCATCTAAGTTTTTTATCAATATCTCAATAGTTTCAATAATTTCATCATATAATTAGCATATATTACCAAGCAAAGAGAATTGAAAATTTTAATTAAATGGCGTTTTAATGAAAGAGAAGTTTAGTTAGCGAACTGTGAAAATGCGAAACAAAGGAGTTAAGTCGAGTTAAGTGAAGACATTGAACACAGAATGGACGAAGAAGAAGTATAGAAAGGAAGATGAGTGTAACTGTCAAACTTCATTTCATACTGTCACTCGACTTCGCCGATGTTGCCTCGTGTGCAATCTTTGATGTCACGAAAACTTTTATACTTCGACATAATAGAGTACTAAATCTAATGTGCTTTAACCAAATATTCTTTATTTTCTCCTTTGTCATTATACCTCATAGAATTAATAATTCGTAAGTTATTACAGTGCATTAACTTGCTAAATTATTGATCCTTGCGAATTATTATGCAGTTTGCAAATTGCCAATTCCTAGAAAGTGTGCCTCCTAATCAAAGATAGCGGCGCACGAGGTTTATGTACCGTAATGATTTATCACTATCATTTTCTTTCACTGGTGGTGCAATGCCTAAGCAACGTTTATTGTGAAATTTTAAGTCAAAACTTGGTTATTAGTAGTAGATATCTATATATTTATATTTCTGATTCGTAAACTCGATAAAATGATAATAATATTGGATTAATATTCAAATCTGAATACTATATTAAATCGTTACATAAATATTGATAATCAAGTTTATCAAAGATATTAACAAAAATATTAGATCACGTTCTTCGAAATTATTTAATTTTTAACTTTCACACTTTTGAAACTTTTATTCGCAATAATTACCTTTATTACATTTACACTTTTTAATTTCAAAAGGAAATGAAACATCAAAATCGTTAAAAAATTTTCAAAACAGACAACATCTTTACTCCTTTATAATTTGACGTTTCTCTTTCGAGTCAAGTGGATTTCATTAAATCCATAAATTCTCACAGTGTCACACCTTGACGTAATCTCGACTACTCTTCATCCGGTTGGCTCAATCTCTGGCCGCTTGCATTAATGTTTTCACAGATTACAATCAAACGTGAACCATTACACGGATCGGGTCAGTGTATTCTCGATATGAAAAGGATTACGTGCTCACGTGACAAGGAGCGCAACAGCGTAACGTATTAGATGCACGGCTTGATATCGTCTGACAGGTTGCTCCTTTTCTTTGACATTGCTCCTTTTTTCCCATTCTTGACACGCTCGACCCGCGCCCTCCTCATTTTCTCCCATTCTTTTTCAATCCTCATTGCGCCAACCGTCTCGTGCGTGTCCCTCCCGATGATCATTTTGATCAAGTTCGTTCCGATCACCGTCCACGTTTTATATTTTTCCCCTATAATATTTTGCGTTATTTACATATATACGTTTTATTGTTAATGCGTTTGTATCCATGTCTATTATTCGATGATGCGTTTTAATCCGTGAATGAAGACGAATACGAATTTGATCGTAGCGAAGAATAAGAATCGTGTTTAAGGTGTTTATTATTTGGAAGGCAATATTGTGTTTCGTGGATGAAACGCAATGAATAGAACGAAAATGTTAAGCTAAGAAACATTGTATGTTTTTGGTTTGTTTACATCGTGAGAAATTAAATTGCTTATTTAATAGTTGCGAAATTTTCATGTACTTTCATGTTTAATCTATTTAATCTTGTTTGGTAACAGAGATATCACTCGATGATATGATATAACTATGATTACAAGGTGGAAATATATGTACAAACGTATGTACACTTAATTTTGTCTGTCTAAAGACACACAGACATTTACAAGTTTGATATTTTACTCAATTTTATTATTTTAATATGATAGCTTCCACGAGATATATTTTCAATCAAATATTTTCAACATATGAAGAAAATGACAACATAGAACTACGAAACTACGTATTTGGCATCGAGCAAGTGAGATCGTTAAGTATGCGGGTTAAAGAGCATAGAAATAAGTTAAATCAATGTCTTGGATTCTCAGCGGCGCGTCGATCATCGATACAATCAATAAACCTGATTGTGAATCACTTAGCGGCGTTGCTCATCGTGTTGGCTGGTTCCGATTACGTAGGAGGTCGGAGTTGGTGTAAAGGATCAGAATGAATATATATATATATATAACACATACGAAATAAGAAAGAGAAAGAGAGAAACAGAAAGATAGGAAAAGGGAGAGAGAAAGAGAGAAAGAGAGAGAGAGAGAAGGAGGGGTTGGTCAGGACCCATTAGGCTAATCCCTCGTCGGCGGCCTCGGCCAAAGGAATGAGAAGGAATGAGAAAGCCACAGGCTACGTGTCATTCCTGCTCGCTTGCCGACACCTATACTCGACCGACACCTTCGTGGCCGAGCTGTACGAGTATATCCGCTCAGAGGTGCTCCCTATCACGACCGTTCTCTCGTATTTCTTCAACGTCCACGGTTGAAATTCGTTCGTTCGTTGTCCTTTCTGTTCTTTAGAACGAGACACTTTATTCGATCTTGAGACAGAGTGGTTATAGATGATTAAATTTTTAATTTGAGAAAAATTAAGTTTCTTTGCTGAGTTGTAGTAAAGCTTTAAATAATAATCTAATTTAATTTAATTCATTGTGAAGGAAAAGTAGATTTAATTTTTAGTTAAACAGAGTAAAATTTCTTCCTGTCAAACATGTTGTGTTGAGATGATAGTTTTAGGTCTTGTATGATGGTTTTAATGAGGAATTAATTGGTAAAAAGAAAAAAGAAAAATTAAGGATTAATTGAAATTTCTTTATTTGAAACTCGAAACTATTTGTGGTAGTTTTAGATAAAAGATTGATTAAAGCAAAAGTGAAAAAATTATCCTTAAATTTGACAAACTAAAAAATTTAATAGTTTGTATTATTTTTGCTTTGACATTTATATTTATATATTATATATAAATATTTGTTATAATATAAAACTTATTAATGTTGGTACATGATCTTATTTCATCTTTAATTCATCTTTTAATAATAATAAGCATATTTTTCTTGATATTTTAAAAATTATTTTCAACTCGTGATATATATACGAAAAGCAATGGGTAAGATTTGATCCTTGGGCCATAGTTTGCCGATATATGCTTCTTGAAACCTATCATCAGAGGAAATCACCTTAAAACAACATTTGCTTCAAAATGTTTGAAGTTTTGCTTATAATAGCTTTTAAAGATTAAAAATAATATTTTAAAGAAATTTCAATATTATTCCAAATTCCACATTGTTAGATACAATTTTTCCATAAATTTATATTAGAAAACAAACAAACAACTTAACATTTTGCATTAGAAACTGTTTGGAAAATTATGAATCGAATAAATTCAATTATTCTCGTCATATATTTATTTAAAATCAGATGTGTAATGATTGTTCCAACCCCAGTTACTATTATAATAATTACAACCTTGTGCTCTTGTAAGATCTCGATCCAAAAATGTTTGATGGATTAACTTTTAATTAAAAGATATTAAGCATTAACGATGATCGTTATGCGGGGTCGATGAATGCTTGAGCACGGTCTATGCCGATGGATATCTCTAATTGAGGGGTTCAGTTTTAAAACGGCCGGCAACACTTGGGGAATGCTTTAAGAACAGCCCTCGACTTTACACCTGTCCCGTTTCACATTTTATTAATATTCTGTTGTTATCTTGATTCTTGAATCTAATTATCATACTTTGGCATTGATTGTAACAGTTTTTGTAAAATATTCGTGTCATTTAGAAGATAATCGATAAGTATTATCCATATTACAATATTACATCATTTCACTCGTTGATATTCTGAAAAAATTATGAAGGAATAATAAATCTGGATATATGGGAATAATTCAATCAAATTTTTCCAAAATAACTACGATCAATTACAATTTCTTACAATGACGATTAAAATTTGTTAATCTTTTCAACAAGCATCTTTCAGCTACATAATTTAACGTATACTTTAATTTATCGTGTAAAATTTAATCTACATTTCTTAGATGTCCCCTGCTTCCAACAATAATACTATGGTGACAATCTCATTCAAATTCCTTAATGCCAAGATTACGAGTCTTACCATTATCACGATGGAATAGCACATACATTTTCATGTTGGCATAAAATATACGAAAAGTTACTACTTTGAAGACATTCGTGAGTCATTATGTAAAATTACTTTCTATTTAAACTCATCACTACCATATTAACAAGTTTACTATCAAGCATAATAGATAATGCAAGAACCTATAGAACTTTTCCATTTGTCCATCGTCTAATTTTCATCCATACCTTCCCCAAATACCTCCTTTACACCCACACAATAGATAATTTCGATGATAAAAATCCCATTGTCTTTCTATTTCGTATCAAAAGTAAAAAAAAAAAAAAAAAAAAAAAAAAAACCTTGGATTACTCATCAATAGACCTCATGCAACGTGTCACGATGCAATGGGGGGGTCCATAAATGAGCACCACTGTCGACGTGTGGCAGGCGGCCCGTTTGATCTCCGCGGGACCCTTGCAGGGCCCACGGTCCCTTTGCCTTCTCGCCTCTTTCCTCGCATTCCCCGAGATCCACGATCGAAGGATCTATCCGTCCTCCTCCCACTCCCTCCCCCTTGGGCCCACTTCCCCTCTCTCCCTCCCTCTCTAAAAATAAACGCGCGTCTCACCAATATATTTCCATCTCCGTCAGTTTCGTCGACCGCCTTTCGTTTCTCTCATCCTCTTCCCGTTTCCTCCCCCGCTCGCGCAGACTATTTTTATTTATGAGACCCCTCATCCCCCTCCTCATCGAATTCTCTCTCTCTCTCTCTCTCTCTCTCTCTCTCTCTCTCTCTCTCTCTCTCTCTCTCTCTTTCCCTCTTTCTCTGCCCCCTTCTTGACCGCGGCAACGCGCCAGAATGGTCAGACTTTTTAAGACTTCGGAACACCTGTACCGCTAATTCCTCCTTGTCTACCTGTATCACTCACGAAAACAAATTCCCGCCTCGTGTCAACGGGCAGTGACTCGTTGTCGCTTAGCAATCGGGATCGTGTTGTTCGATGGTTGTTGAGGAATTTTTATCGACGGGGAATGGTGAATTGTTTAGATAAATTTTAATGATTTTTCAGGATTAATAGTGACCTTTTTCGACACTTGAAATTTTTATCGAACGAATATTGAATGTTGTATCGGGTTTGTTGGTGAGAGATATTATTTATTTCTTTTTTTGAAATAGAATTTTTGGTTGATTAGGAAATAGAGTAGATAGTTTCTAGCTCTTCTTGATGATTAGTAATTGATCTTTCTAGTAATGTAGATTCATGAATTTATTCAATATTAGATTGTTTAATAATAATGTCTTTAGAAATTGATATTAGCTTTTTTAATATAGACTGGTTTTTTGATAGCTATTCAGAAAGAAATTTTTGTTATTATTGTATTGGGGAATATTTGTTTGGATAATTTTTTTATTTTATTTCATAAATGATGTTATATAACCTCTTTGATGTAGGTTATTTTTTATGACGGCATATAAAAGCATCAATGGCTCCATGATGTTATATAATTTAACCTTTAAAGAACGCTATTTATCCTATTGTTATTTTTTCCTCGGAATTGAACACGGCAATTTAAAATTAGATAATTTTCAATTAATTTAAATTCAACGTATAACACAAATTTCTTCTCTAGAGATACTATAAATAAACTGATAATAATGATAATAATAAAAAATAAATTTCACTTGTCCATTCCTCATCATTTTATCATCTCATTCACCGAATACTCTCTGTTCCATTTAAAAAACAAAAAAGAAAAAAAAAAAATAAATTCTTCGCAAGAATTCAAGAAGGAAGTCACTAAAAAAGGGAGGGTCCATTCCGATGCCCGCGGAATGAAATGAGAAAAAGGGAAACGAGAAGACTAAGGAAACGAGAACAACAAGACAAGAAGGAGAAGAAGAAGAAGAAGAGGGATAATGCGTGCCCCGTAAGATATTGACACTCCTGTAATCCGTTTGTCGGACGTGTGGGCAACCTGGCTAATCCTGCTCACGCCCACCGAAGATTAAATCCTGAAGGCTTCCCGGCTCATTCGGACTAACGTTCGCCTAACCGACGATGTAGGATCGGACTTAAAGTCCCGTACACACGCTCGCGTACGTCAAACTTCGTTCTCAGATACGAGAGGTTAA